AAAAAAAACGGGAAAAAAAAAAAAAAAAAAAAAAAATAAAAAAAAATAAACAAATAAATAAATAAATAAAAATACGATATAATAAATAAGTATACAGGTAGGTGCGCTGCAGTGGCGGCTATAATCCGCCCGAAAAGCGTAATGCCGACCGACGCGCATAATGTTCTGTATTATTATTTCGCGTACTTGTGTAATTAGTGGCGGTCCCGCGCGAGAATTTCGCACACCTGTCATTGTGCGCAGATCGCGTACCATTTATTTGTGTTATTGAATTATAATCGCCGGCGCACCGAAGAATTCCGAAAAGCACGTGCGCGTGATATAAACAAACGTGAAAAACATATCCGAACGCCCGCCCGTTTAGATTCCGAGCGGGCCGACGACCGTATTAGTTGCCCCCGTCCGGCGCATAACCCATACGTGGTTCGTAATTTTTCTGTTCCGCCTGCAAACGGCTTTTCCACAAGTACCGCTCTGATAACCAAGCGTGTCGTCACGTCTTTTTCGGAAAGAAAATTGTGCGCATACCGGGGAGATCGTTTTCCGATTTTCCTCGTGTTTTCGGAAAACCCGAGAAAAACACGGGAAAAGATGAATAGTTTATGACAATAACGATCTCTGTAATTCGTGATTTTCTGTTAGTTTGTTTTTTTTTTCTTTTTTCTTTTTTTTTTAATATATAACATAATTCTATCAGCCACTTATGGACATGGTCAAATTTTCCAACACATCCCCGCGATTTATAAACTATTTATAGTAGGCATTTGAAATGTAGATTGTAAGATGTTTAGTAAATTTTAAATTACAATATCTATGGTTTCTTTTTCACTTTACGGAACACTTTAATTATTAACGTTTTTTTTTTTTTTTTTTTTTTTTTGAAAATCAGAAATTTCAATAATTTAATATCGACAGAATTAAAAAAAAAAATGTAGACAAAACTTCATAACTGAAAATAAGCACGACCCCCGAATTTTAATTTCACCACTATTGTTGACAGTGTCAAAAATTACATAAGGATGAATAAAAAAATAAGTTTTAAAAAAAGTATCCCTTAAAGAAGACCTAATTTATATACTTACAAAAATAACAATAATTACATAATTACACGATGGCTAAGGTGGCTCGTTATAGGCGTAAAAATCAAGTACTTACCAAAATAAATAATTCAAAAGTTAAGTTTTAAATTCTTACTTAATAGTTATAGATTTTGTTGAAATAAGAAATTTAAAAACGGACAATTGTTTACTATTGACCACGATAAAATTACCTAAATAATAACCAAAAAAATTATTTCATCATGATATCAGTAGTTATCTACATCGCGCTAACGAAATTTACGATCACTGATAGATAGATAATAGTACACATTCTATGATTTCTATGGTTTCATTAGCCTTTTATTGGTATCCGGGAATTTCTACCGGCATAATCTATAATGTTATCTCTATATCGAGAATATAATATCCAAAATAAATTAATCGCCGATTTTTATAAATTTGCGCCCATAGTAATACCGTAATTTATTTTGTGACAATACTTCCACACAATCGTGTATTCGTACCATAATAAATAAATCCATATTAAATCCATAGTAAATTTAGTCATCTAAGTTATGTTTAAATAATATAAAGTAAAAACATTTATGGTGTCTACGAACCTACGTCAGTATGTGTGACAATACATTTCGACCTACACAAAGTAAATCATTTCATATATTATTATTCGATTATGTTTATTTATTGTTAGAAAATTAAAATAAAAAAAAAAAAATTCACAAAGTAGAAAATTAAAATGTGAATTAATAATTAATAGCTAAATAATTAAAATACACAATAGTATAATAAAGTATTAAGCTACCTTTAAAACATTGAATAATTTAAAAAATACAACTGCTATATACTACTAACTGATATTTTATCTTCATTTATCTTCGTAATCCGTGTAATTTAATAATTGCCGCGTTATGCAAAGTACCGTTTCATCATTTTGACAATATTATCATTGTCGACGAGAAAATATTAAAAACGAGACGAACTCGTCAAGAAACAAAATAATTTTTTTCTAATTTAACAAAACGGATAATATTACGAATAAAACCATATTATGGATATTAAAAGATAACTAATTAACAGTTCATCTAGATATACGAGACTCAACACTACCCGCATTATTGCAATAGGTGCCGAAAAACTTTTTTTACGTTTAAAACTCAGGTCCTGACAGACTGCGGAATACCAAAAAGCCGCATTTAGTTCCCGCGAGAATGTTGTTTGAGCGGGTAGATATTTACAATACGAGTTGAAAAGTTACGCACAGGAAATTGGTATTGAAACCATATCATAATAGCCGCCACTGCATTTTGTAAAATGAATAATATGATAGGTATGTTTTATTGGTAAAACACGATTTAACCGTCTAAAGCAATACACAGCTTACATTAAAAACACGGAGAGAAAATACATCAAAAAGGTAAGTGAAAATATGATATTTCATAATTATTATATAAGTATACTTAAATAATTTTAAACGTTACAATGTTACTAATACCCCGTGTCACAGTTTAAAGATAAACTGTAAAACTGTTCTAAAAATGTACCAGATCCATATCTGGTACACAACACTAAGGCCGTCCAGTGCGTGACCATCAGTACGATTCGGCCGCATTTTGTACAAATTGAATACTTAATTTTAAAAAAATCTACAATTAAGTTAGAAATATTGAAAAAGTTAATTGCATTTCGACACATTTGTCTAAATGATTTAGTTATTTATCTCGGATTATATTATTTCCAATTTATTTGAATAAGATAGAAAAAAAATCAAAACATGAAATACTGCCACTGTACAAAATACACTTGGGTATATTTTACATATACGGTATTTTTATGTAGACAAATAAAACCATAATATTGTACATAAAATAATATTTTGTATTATTAAAAAAAAACGCGTTCAATTTAATGTTGCAATATTCTGGCATACAAATTGACGATGCATCAAGCTACAGTTACTGCAAAAGACTATAACAGATAATTTGAAAAAAAAGTATTAAATTAATTTCTTGTCTTTCCTTGTTAGATTCGAAATATAAACTGTCATTATTATTTAATAATATAATGGCAGTCTAAAATTGATTATCAGCGGAATATTAATCTGTAGGTTGTCTGTGAAATTTATGCGAGTTGACGAACGATTTGTACGTATTTTTCAGATTTGACAAAAAATAAAAGGAAAAAGAGTTAACACATTATGATATTCAGTAAAAGCTCTCTAAAACGGGCACTCTTAAAACAGAATCCTCCTTATAACGGAATATATCAATAATCCGAGTTCAAATGTTTCAAACATTTCAACTTTTTTATATTTGTAAACTTACTATAACGAACAATTCGTTGGTCCCAAGCGATTCCGTCGTAGAAAGGTTTTACTGTATACTTAAACAAGGAGTTGCTACTCCGGTTTATACAAGTTGATTTTTCTTTTTCAAAAACCATTAATTATCTCAGAGGATTTTAAGTGAATTTGATTTCTGTTTTTTCTAATCTTTATGGAATCGTTTAAGCTTTATTTTAAAATAATTTTTAATTTTTTACCCCCACTCTTTATACCTAAGTGCATAATTTTTATTTTCAAATCTGTGTTCAAAAGGGGGATTCCTATTTGAAAATCAAAAGTATGCACTTATTTAAAGTATATGGAGTAGGGATTAAAATTAAAAATGGCTTTAACATAAGGCTTACAAATTTGTATAAAGATTAGAAAAAAACAGAAATCAAATTCACTTAAAATCTTCTCAGATATTTGCGGGTTCGTGGTAAAAAAAACCACTCCGTATTGGTTTTTTATTAATAATGTCGCATAACATAATCTCTGTAGATAATAAAAACATGTATGGCATCACGATTTTAGTATAATTGCCCATCGATCAATGATAAAATGTCTAACGAATTAAATGCTTCAATTCACGAGAAACGTCTCACCTCGCGTGGACTTATATTTTACTGTAGTGCGATAGAAAATTGACGGGATAAATTGCTGATTTCTTTAGCTTTTTTAACTCGGCACTCTCTCATATTGTTATATAAATTTTAACAGTCTATAAAAAAGCTGATTTATGGGATTTCGTTCGATTACCACTTCACGGTTATCTTGTCATAGGTCGATAGTTGACCACCATAGTATAACACTTTAAATTAGTGTCCAGTGAAGAACCTAGTAGTTTTTAGTGGCGGTGCAATAGGGTATTTCATGAGTCAACAATATTCAGTGTAACCAGCAAACATTTCAATATACCACAATTTTTACGAAGAAGATACAATAAAATTTATGATTTGTTAGTAGTATAAATTAATTTAAATAAAATCTTACAGACTCTTAGACTCTGTCGATTAAATGTCACATGTTTTATATGGCTCGACATTTGGCCATTAATCCAATGTTCTTTTGTATTGAACGGATAGCCAAATAAAAATAATAGTATAATGTATTAGTAAAATATATGAAGTGCACAATTTTATTAATTTTTTATATTCATAAAATATAAAATCATCATGACTTAAAGCATATATTTGTGGAATGGTAAATGGGTGAAAATGGAGGGGCTTCATCTTATAACACTTATTTGGTGGTGGTCAACCATTAACATCTATGTTTGCCTCATAAAATAAAAAAGTTCACGCCGCCACTGGTAATATTATATAGTTTAGTTTGTCTTTATATAGCTACTGCCCGTAGTTTTTACAATAGATATTGTATGGCTTCACTTGTTCAATACTTGTTCGATATCTTGGGGAGTTGGGTATCATGGTGTTAATCTTCGCGCTTTGATAATGCGCGGTAGAATAGCTATTTGTTTTCAAATAATGCATATTATTATATGTTACATTGTTATCAAGTACATTATCATATTTTTAGTGAGTATTGTGTACTCGATCATTGAGGTGTATTTTTATAATCGTCTTCTTCTCCTTCGCCTTCATATCAACCACCTATTCGAGATCAGCCAACAATACGTCTAAGTTTTGTTTCGGACTGCTCGTCTTGTTTGACAGAATTTCACGGTTCCGGCTCTCGAACTGACGCAACCTCATTTGTCGCCTCTTACGACAGGCAGTGGTACTGCGGGATTATTCTTATCCCCTCTCATAGGGAGATTAGTATAAAATTAAACAATTCATAATATTATTTTAAACTCGATAATTTCGTGCGATACATGAATAAATAAATATGCATTCTATAATGCTATTCACTATCACTAAGAATCCGGTCAATATAACGTCACGTAATTCATAACTTGTGTTGTTGTAATTTATCTACAAAGCCTACATTATAGTTATTGATTTTATAAATCCATAACTGTTGACTAAATATATAAATAAATAAATAAATAAATGAGTGCGTCGCCTATTATGATATGTGTATAACACGACCGGTTTCAAATTAAAAATTAATCGTCAGGTAAAATCACCAAGTCAAAAAGTAAATGCCTTAGCACTTAGTCCTTAAAGTCGTACAACAAACATATCATAGTACTCCAGGCGATGCGCGACGCATTCATTCATTTATTTATATATTTATTTACGAGTATTAACAATTTAAATATTTTATTTTTACTCTATTATTTTATTAACTGTTAATTGTTTCTTCCATGATGCCTAGCGAGATCTAACGCGCAATATACTATGAGTATCTACCTAGCATGTCTATTTATTTAGCCATAGTGTAACATGTAGGTAGTTTTAATAATATACCTGTTTAAAACTTGCCCTAACTATGGTAGTTGGTTGATAGGTTTGCACTTCACTGTTTTGATCGTATACATAATAACGATAACAAACGACCTCAATTCTTATTTGCTTAGGACCGCGAAAATCGAATAACTTCAGTTAGCGATGTCTTGTTCCTGTTTTGTATCACATATATTCTACATGATATATTCATAATACAATAAGTAATAGCTGGTTTATCGTTTACCGTCTGCGTTACCATTATATTGTCGCCGTTGAGTTTTGATTATATTACCAATATATTAAGTTATATTATCTAAACCCACAAAACGGATCCACCGTTGCCGTGAAACATTATGGTTACGATTACTATGATAATCGTGATTGACGCTCCGTAGGAGACATGATATTATTATTTGTGTAATTTTATTGTTGCGCATTATTTTTATATTCCCAGTGTAGTACGAATAAAATGAAAATATGAGAAAATTCGAAGCTTGACAGTTCCTCATACACATAAATATGAAATGGGCCAAAGTTTATTGATCGACCCATAAAATCTGAGTTTACGCCGTAAATATTTTACTTGACATTTTTGGTTACACTAACATCAGATTTATCGTGTATGAGTGATAACCACTTAAAGTTTAAACCGGAGAAGTAGGGAAGAGTAATCATTTAAAAATAAATATGAAATTTATCACCCCTCTCTACTTTTGTGGTCTAATCTTTAATTGGTTAAAACTCATATCAGGTGAATCTGATATTATATAGTAGATGCATATCAAATTGTCTAGAATAATATGTGTTCAAAAAGGGGGCTCTTATTTGAAAAACAAAACTCTATACTCATTTAAGGTATACGGAGTAAGGGTGAACAATTAAAAAAAAACATTTTTAAACAAAGCTTCAACGATTCCACAATGATTATATAAATTGAGAAATAAATGTATAAAAAGAAAAAAATCCACTTAGTGTAGCGATTGGTTTCACTAAGACGCGTGTGTGCTCCTCCCTGCCCGGAAAATATTTTTTCGAAAAAAACAAAAATCAAAACATTTTACGCATCAAACAACTTGTCGGCACATAATGCCGACATTCATGTTAAACAATACAATTGATATACTCGTATGGTGTAATCAGTTTGTTATCCACGTTAGTTGAGTGTACTTTCAGGTGGGTTTTAATATTATTCATGTTCAAGTATAATTATACTTATATTAGAATAGGTGTGTTCCGATAAAATGCTCTTCATTCCATTAATGACCGTGTGTGTCTGTAGGAAAAAACGCATTCATATTAGTTTATTTCCTAACGAACATATACGTAGCATTCTAGCGCGAAGTTTAAACTATATATAAATACCATCGAATTCAATGTTTTGAAACTTCTGCCACTCGTATTTTTTTTTTTCATTACATTTCACGCTAAGTTTCAGGTGCTACATATTATAATATTTACTCGTATGTTCGGCGAGTGTCAAATATTTATCACTAACAACAATAAATATTCGAAACTTTTTTAACGCGTCAACTATTTTGTTCAGCGGCACAACTATCGGGGGTGTTGAGAATGTCAGACACCGGGGCCCCGATATATTTGAAGTCTCAGAGGGGCCCGGTCGAACAGTTTAGACGAAACATTTTAGATTTAAAATTCTTTTTGTTTAGATCGATCAATAGCTAAGTAAACTGTTCAGAATTTCTTAATTCTATACATTTTTTTTTATCCGTCAACTACAAACTAGATCTACTTATACTTTTCATACACAGTTGCACAAAACTAACTGTGCTATCGACGATCCTTTAATTAGATCCACGTGATTACCAAATGATACCCAAATTGATCTATTTAATTTTAATTCTATTGAGTCTTTTTGTAATTATATCATTAGATATTATCACTGTATTTATGTTTTTTTATTATATCCATTAATTAATTTTACTATAGTTTTTACTTCTTTTACATGTTTACAATTTCTTAATTCACCTTATTATTATTATACGTATGTATGTAACATGCATTGGGTTTTCAGCCCATTTAATTTTAATAATAAATAAATGAATAAGTACTCACGGTCTGAAAAAGTACCACTATCTACAGCTATGATACCACTCCATAATTGTTATATTCCACGCACCTAATACAAATAGATGAGCCTTATCTGTATATCGCGTACATTACGGGTTTTAGGTGCACCACTCCGTACAAAATAATATTGTTATGGAATCAGGGAATAATCACATTGCACGTTATTAACAATTTTTCGACATCTGTACCTTATATAATTATTATATTTTCAAGCTTGTTAAGATTTTTTTTTTACTTTGAATCCTTTATTTTACCACGGAGTGGATAAGAATCTATTATATATGATGTGTGTGTTTTTTTTCTTATTTTTTTTTTCTGGCTGTAAACAACTTTTTGAAAAGAAAACTTACTCCAATGTATCAAGTATAAATCCTTTTCTGAAAGTAAATTTTATCTAGTTGATACTCTAAAGAAATCATGTTGATTTTCCATAAAGTTTTCATAATAATTGGAAAACCCAGAAAAAAAAGACGAAAATGAAAACCAATAAAAAAAAATACCGGGGAAATTTACGATTTAATCAGTTTGTTATGATTCAAATGAAAATATTCACAAAGATTCTTTATTTGATTGGCACTTTATGATGGCTAAAATTGTAAGGCTAAATAAAAATGCTTGACAATTTAATCAAAGGTTCATTAAAAGTCGTACTTAGTGGTCGGAAAAAAAAATCGAGTGTAGTGTAGTATTTTTTTTACCGAACTTCTCTCCGAATCCTTTTTCGTTAGTTTGTCGTTAGAGATATAAATTAAATAATTGAATATGTATCTTACGTACTCAACTTTTTACCTACAACAGCGGTACACCCGCGTGACACATGTCCGTCCCTAGTCCGTCACCTCTTTTTTTTTGTTAATTTTTTATTCGTGAAATCCTGACGAATTCATAAACATCTCAATTGTTTCGCTTTATTAAGTTAGACCAGGGTATCTACAATAACACATACATACTAATCAAATAATCCTAAATAATTTGTTAAAAAATTACCTTATGGAGAACGGAAGGGGTAGACGAATCTCCCATGTTCAATTTTATTGGAGTATACACTCACTGAAAAATGTACAACTACATCACTGCATATAAACAACAACAATATTGTTGTTTATAATTAGAGTAAAAAAAAGAACGATGATTATTAATTGTAATTATAAGGTGATAATGAGTTTTTTAGAATTCAAAGGGGCAGATTCTCTTTTCCTATAGGTCTTACACTATAGAATATAATTTATAGTACATTACATTACAGTTATTCATTTATTATTTAGCTTGTGCATGGCATCGTTAAAGATTTTCAACAAATGAACGCGTTTTGATTATTTTTTAAACAGAGATAGTTCTGTATCATTTCTGTTATATTTTTTTTTTTCAGTATTTTTGTGGCTTAGTATAGACCAAACGAGCTCAAACACGGAAATTAGAGGTTTTTCTCAATATTAGGTTTAATTTGATATGAATTTCACCATGTTCTTATGGAAACAGGGTGTTTATTTTGTAAATTAAACAATTAAACTTTATACACCACGACAGGAGATTAAATTTTATATATACATGGTGTAAATATCAAAAATGTGCTTTTTAGGGGTTTCAACATTTTAGTTTCTCCCCAACCGCTTTTAAGTTCAAATATCATATTCATATTAAAAATACCAGGTTTAAAATAACTCTTTAAGGACTAACATTTTTTAAAGCTCAAGCCATTGTAACTATTTTAGATCAATTTTAAAAATAAATTAAATATTTGAACGGTGACAAACAGTTTAGGGAAAAAATTCGGCTCTAATAGAACAGATATTTATAGTAGATAAAGTTCTACTGCTCGTGGATGGTTTTTTTTTTTTGAATATGTTGATTTACTTAGTATTTTTTATTTTTTAGAACATCGTGCAAACTTTTATTCTTCGTATTTCATTGTATTCGGTAAATTATAATGGATTGCATGTAATATAGAGGTACGTAACATGAAAATAGCCAAATTTACGCGCACGTATATACTATACACATTATACGCAGATATTCTCACGATACCTCAACTTGTTTTAATAGGTGATAAATAAAGTTGAATCAGGTTTACAGCCAGTGGATACACTTTCTTGAATAGTTTGAAGAGTCCTAAATAATGCTTGAGTGAATTGCCTCATCTCGGATATATGCGGGAACAATAAAAAGAAAGATGTTACAGAATGTAACATAGAATTGTGGATGAATCCAGTCAAATGTGCGTGAAATTGCCCTGCCCTTCCTCCAATACGACTGAATTATTTGAAAGTTATCTAATCAAATCATTTCTCAACCCGGTAAAAAAATAATACAATTTTTGAAATATCATTTCTGGCCAAACTTGTTTTCAAAATCAAAAAGCTTCAATTCAAATATTTTGGAAAATTGTCAAACTATTATTTTATCTTAAATACGCAGAAATCAGTTTGAACTCGGTAGACAATATTTGATCACCCATCAGTTGCGAAGAATTAGAATTCAAAATCAAGAGCGTGTTGATTAAGCGCGCACTTTCTATTATTACAACAATATAGATCCACGGTTTTCAAAATGTATATATTATTTTTTTACTCCGAGTTCTCTTCTGTTCTTTTATCGTTGTAATATATTTTGGTTTTTTAAGAAAACTTTTTCTTGATTTCAATCTGAAATTATTTGCCAATTTGCAAATATTTGCAAATTATTTGTAAAATGGTGGTGAGTTATTGTCGTCCGTTCCTCAAAGGGGCTGCGTGAATTTTTTTTGTCGCTCTTATTTTTGAAGGAAAAATGGCTAAATACTTTTGATTTTCATAGGACATCCTTTATTAAAAATTCCTTAAATAAATGTATTATTAGTTTATATAAATCTTGTTGTTGAAATTTTTAATTTCCGTCAACGCGTTCGCGTGATATTCCATTTTTAAATCTCGTTAAGGGAAGAATGATGAAACACTATTAAAACGCTATTCTCTGTACCGTTACATAAACAATGCACCGCGCTACTCACTCCTAGCAAAACTGTCAGCAAAGTGTGTCCGTTTTTTAGATTCTAAGAGGAGCGATGTTGATTTTTGTTTTATTTTTCTGTGGAATTTTTTCTACCAGCGATTTTACTCGGATTTTCAACTGTAGCACATTTTCTGAAAATAAATTTGACTGGGGTAATACTCTAAAGAAGTTATTTTTTCGATTCCCCCAGGAATTTGTTCAATATATGGGAAAAACCTGGGAAAACCGTAGGAAAAACGGGAAAATGTATACATTATTAAATAAATATTATTAAAGAAAATATATAATGCATATTTAATTATATTTAACTATAATATGAGATATACATTGTTGAAAAAGCAACACTATTAATCGAACTGCGATCATAATCGTTTTTCGCTAACAATGGTTAATCGTACAGAAATGCATTCAATTTCCCCTTTATCTTCCAAAATTCTCACCTACAACAGTGGCCCACGCATCTGCGAATTATATCGTTTTTTTTTTAAATATAATTTTCAGGCTGGACATATGACATATATATAAATCAGTTACCTGTGCATCAATAATAAATTTTTTTATAAATAACGCTATAGTTTCAATTTATATATATTTTTTGTTTTTAACATGATAAAGGTTTTAATTTTGAACAAATTGTTGTTTTTAATGGATATTCAATAAACTATTTGAAATATTTTTTTTTTGTACATATATTTGAGTGATGAGTATGATCATGTACATACTATTATAAAGATCGTTCAGAGATAAATTTTTTTTTCCGACAAATGATTTGATCATTTATTGTTATAGTGCGTACAGTCTATTAATATTAATTATTAACACGACAGTTTCTATCGGTCTCATTCGATGTTGATTTATACGATTTCGCAATTAAATGTTGGACACTTTGTCTCGGATCGGCGTTTACGACTGTAGTGCTGTAGTGTATAATATCGTATTAATATTTCAAAAACGGTTTGGGAAAACTGTATATCTCTCGCTTTGTCTGAAGGAAAAATTTTCCTGTTCATTTATTAAACTGTTCCCAATCATAACAGTGGCACACCTTTCGGTAGTAACATCATATTATGTCAAATTTTCCCGAAAATACTATTGGCACTGTATGGCGTCGGTTAAATATATCGCCGGCCTTTTGTAAATTTTCCCGTTTTTCTTACGTTTTATCCCGGGTATTCCCAGATATTGTGAAAACCACTTGGAAAATCAAAACATTACCTGCTTAAAGTACCATCTAGACAAAATTTCCTTTCAGAAAAGGCGCCACTTTTACATATCAAAGCAAGATTTCTGTGGTAGAAATTGTTGTGATTTTATAAAAAAAATAAAATAAAATAAACGTCATTGTAAAATGAATACATTCTTCTCTACAATTAGCATCTAAAAATGTTTTTATCGCAAATGTTCTAATTCAAAAATGAGCCATAATAAAACTCACGTGCCTTGCCACTACACAAACTACTCTCCTTCTATCTACGCTTAAAAATGGAATATCTCATTAACAGGTTGGCGGAAATCAAAGATGTTAACACCAAAATGTATTTTAATTGATATCTATTTAGGGTATTTTTAATATAAGTTCTCATTTGGAAACCAAACAAAGTTGGTATCGACACATGAGAACTCCTTAATTATTGTGAAAAATCTAAGTATTCGAAAATATCGGCTTATCAATGAATTATCAATGAAATGCTTTTTAGGGATTACAACTTTCAACCTCTCCCCCGACCATTTTAATATACGCCTAAAAACTCGTACAGTTAAATTGCGGAAACAAAATGAATGAGCGTAACGGCAACAAGTCGGCCGTGAGAAATGTCGACTTATGTGACAGAGCTCACAGGCGTTTTTAGTTTGTTCCGTTGAATTCTGACAGTTAACTTTGAAATAATGTTATAAAATTGAAATCCATAACAACACGGCACGCGTGTACGTTTATTATGCACTTAATAAAACACTATCTGGGTACGATAAGATAACATTATATGTATCGCGTTAGAGCGTTGCACTCTCTCTCGCACAATACGCGGGTAACAAAAAACTTTTTTTTTCGTTTCGTGTATCGCGTTTCACGTGTATTGTACGTGAAGATTCGCGTCCTCGTCTGCGGCTGTTTGCCGCTGCTGACGCTGCCGTCGCAAACATCTCTCTGTAATAAGCGATTTATGACGGGGAAAAAAAAAAAAAACCGCGTCGGTTCTCGACTTCGTTCGGCTCGTATACGTTTACTGCACGCGAAATATTATTGTATTGAGTGTATACAGGAGTTGTTTTACGTTGTCTTATTATAATACGACGTACCTATTATTATTGGCGTAAAAAACGAAAACGTCGATAGTATTATTGCGTAACACGTAAGTACGGTGTACACTACAGGTTTCACGGATAATAATGACATTACTCGCGGGTAGCTGGCATTATTTGTGTATATATTATATTGGTGTACTTAATAATATGTACATGTATCTTATTTGTATTTATACGTACGGGTAGGCGAGCAAGTGCAGGCAGGTACGGGCGGTAGGGTCGGGCCATCGATATAATATTATAATATTGTGATAAACGTTCGTTTTACGCGCGACACAAAAAGCTGCTCTTTTTATTTACTTATTATTTATTTTTTTTTTTTATTTTTTTCTATTTACCGTCGGCGGTAAATTATGCATAATATTTTCATTTATGTCTACCTGCCGCCGCCGCCGTAACGTTATATTATATACGCGCGTCGTAAAACGAGTGATTTTACGATACAGCAGCAGCAGCAGCCGGGCAATATTATTACTCGTGTAACTTCGCGGGGAAACTACGCCACGCACTCGACACACATATTGAAATGTTATATTTTAATATTTATACAGTGATAATAATAATAATAATATGTGTGTTGCGAACGATTCTATATAATATTATCCATACTGAAGTCGGCCTCTTGAAAAACGCATCGGCTCGTAAGGAAACCGTAAAGTAATAATTACGCGCAAAAATTTTGACAGCGCCGCCGACTCCTATACATACCTATTTATGTAGACTGTGTCGAAACCCCGCGGTGGCAAAACGAACCAAAAATAATCCGAAATCGACCCATAATCTGTCCGTCGGTGGTGGCTTGAAAGGGGGGCGTACATTTGAATCACGTGGTTCACGAAAACACGGGTGCCTGGATCGTGGGTGCCCGGATGTTCAGAAATACGACGAAACAAATTATTGTTTTTTACAAAATACAATTCGTTAAAAGAATTTTAGACTTCTAAAATTGTATTGGAGTTTTAAAATGAAATTGGTGATTCAAGGTCAAATACTACTGCTGTCCGGTACCCAATACCCCCACCCTCTCCCCCCGACAATACTTCCAAACAGCCCAAACGCATTTTAATATTTTCGTCTAGTTTTACTAAATCAATAGTAAACGAACACACGTGTTAAGTATTGAGCGTTCGCCCGTATCTAAATTTAAAAAGAAAACAATCGAGGAACACCGAAATTCGTTTCGCCACTTATTATTAGTACCTGTACGAGTGACCGGATAGGGTCGCCGTCGTCATCGTGATTAGCACGAAGGGCCGTTGACTTAGTTATTAAACTGGGCTGATACTGGCGATAATATTATTATCATATTTTGCGATATCGAACAGATATTATACAAATGAAAAACAAAAATAGTTGAAAACGTTGTTATTTAATTGTTCATAATAATTGACCGTCAAATCGTCTCGTGTTGTTACCAACACACTTTTCCGACTATCTTTTTCGGATTCAATGCATTTCTTATCAAAGGCATAGCCAGCATCTGTCTATGGTCAGGGCACTTAACATTAGGGTGCTAGACTGTAAATTTTCACTTTTTATCGAAATACGTGTATTTTAGTGGTGCTCGAATTCGCATTTATTGGTTTATAATTAACACCTCTAAAAGTAAATATATTATTTCAATCCTGGTTACACTATCGGATTTAAGTATTTAACGTAAAAAAACATACATTCGTAACATTAACGAAATAAAGATGCATTTTGAAAAAATAATTAATTTCAACGTCTAAAACCGCACGGTTTAAAAAAAAATGTGGAAATTCCAAATTAGTACGTTTGTCATTGATACATTTTAATCCTATTTATTTTATATTTTATGTAATCAGCAATAAAAAAAATTGCGTTTGTATCGATATTTGAGTTGCGACTCAATTTTAGTCATTCATGAATAATTTCGATTTTGAAAAGCCAAAAATCAAGGAAAAAACTTAATCCTTCAACGCATTAGTTTTGTCTGATAACGTTACAACAGGAAATATAACTGAACATTTTTATTTCACTTAAAAGCGAATTAATATTAAAATAGAAGAAAACTAAATATAATTTAGTCATCGAAATGTATACATGTAAGGGGCACACTGTTCAATTTTAACTTTATTTTAGAAAAGGTCACGTGAAAATTTGGCTAATTATCTCGAATCGCTTGTACGCAAAGGTTAAAAACCGCTGGTATATATAATATTATTTCATTATGCATTTCAATTTAGTCTTGACATCAAACATAGATCATTTTAATATAATTATAATACATGATCAGAACCTTACTTAGAGGGATACAAGAGGTGCAACCGTGCGGAGGCGGCAAACAGAGACCAAAGAGACGCCAATGAAAGTTTTAAAAGTTTTGTAATAGAATATTTATACAATAAAACATATGGTTTATGGTATTAGTAAACTCCGCATACTGCAAGTTTTAGCATATTTAGTAGACATTTTGCGTGACCCTATTTTTTTTCCGGAGAAATTGTCTGGCACCGAACGCTGATTTTACTAGGATACGGTCATGTATATAACATATAAGTATAAAACCATAATAAATAAAGTATTTTTAATACTTAGAATCCAACGCTTTTAGTTCCAAATTATTTAAATTATCCAAATTATTCCAAATTGTTTAACCTTTTATAAACCATTTTAATCGATCAAATTACTTAATTCAATTTGTATGGGTACCTAGTGACATCAGTGTACCAACGCATAACCTAGTTAAATCTACTATTAATACTACTTTACCATCCTTCGCTAAATTATCTTGACCCAATTTCATCTTTGTATTACGAATACATATACTAATAGCCTTTGGGTAATTCAGTGGTCAAACCTACCTGCTAATTTTACACCAAAGTTCAAAAACATTGCCTCCAATATTCTTATTCAGAAAACCTGGTTCAATAATATGAATCTGCCTGGATCTGCCATCACCCAATTCAATCGGCTACGCGTAGGTCATTCATTATTGCCTGCCCATGCTTATAAACTCGATCTTAACGACGCACCTCTTCGCACACTACATCGCACCGAAAATGTGGGTGACCTTCAACATATATTTTTTGATTGTCCGTCCTTAAACTCTAAACGTATTATTTTGTTAAATTTTCTTATTTTCCTCAATGTCCTTCCATACACCATCTTTATTCCGAATACAAATTCAGAAGTTTTCGTTAACAATATAATCGCTTTTATATTGAAATTTGGTTTTGTAATTTTAATTTTATTTTTATTTCTGTGCTTATCAAATTTTCATTGTCTCATAATTTTTTTAAAATTATAAATGTTGTGCTGTAATAGTCTTGTACTTACTAAAAGTTAATAAAAAAAAAAAAAAAGGAATTTTTTTGAGTAACGGGGATGGTATTTGCCCTCAGTGACCCCTTTTCTTAGATCTGCACTTGTTTCTTATGATGCTTGTTTGAGATCGATTGTGAATTAATCGACTAATGGCGTACTTAGATCTAAGTCTTTACGACAGGACTTAAAATATGCAAATTAGGTGATCAATTTTTAGGTAATACTAACAACGTCCCGAAAAATTATTGTGAACGATTGCGATACTCCAAATTTTTTTCCCAATAAATAAACCATTAAATTGGGTTGATTGGATGTTGAGCACAATAATTGGCTAAAATTACCGAGAAGTCTGTATTTAAAAACAGTTCGGCGACGTAACGCCAGACGAGAAGAGAGAAGCACCGTCTACAATTCTCATATAACAATGAATATAGGAAACTTACTTACTTATAGTAAATTTCATTATAATAAAAATGTGCCATGATGATAGCAGCACCTCCTTTTTCTTTTTCTGATAGTCTCTACGTGTGCATTAACATTTCCTCCCTTAATGAACGGCCACTAAAAAGATTTGTGATATACAATATTCATTATTTTAGCGGTGGTCATCTGATATGACTTTATATCCAATATCAGGTATTCCGATATTTACTTTGCTGTCGACAAAAAAACCAATACCCGATCCGATATTTGAAATAATTAATATCGAAATTAGCCAATTTATCAGTTTTTTTTTTTAAACACTTTTTATATTTCCAAAAAAATGTATAGACAATAATATCCAAAAATATTGGTTTGGAAAAAAACCCGATATTCGGTATCTTAAATATCGGCTTATGATGCCGATATTCGTAAATACTACTAGCGTTGAAGTTGGGAAAACTAAAATAATGTAAACTCAGTTTGGTTAAATGAAAAAATTTGGTAAATTAATTGTTTTATTGATTATCTGAGTGAAAAATTAGTTTGAAAATTAATGAACTTTAATAAGTTACTATTTTATTGGTTTAGTTGTAAAATTGTGTTACATTAAAAATGATTAAACCTAAAGATATTGCCATTTTTTCATAATGTGTAAAGCCGGGCAGTTACAACTAGTTGGGTAGTTAAAAGTCAAGTTATAATTTACTTTTTTGGTATTATATAATTTCATTAGTTTTAAAAAATAATTAGAATGTTAAAAACTAAATTGGATATTTCATTTGATAGATAATTTTACATTAAAATTTAAGCTATGTCTAAAATATTGTTTACAAAGTTTTTGTAAAAAAGTACTGTGTACCTATGTTTTACGCATTTATTTTTCAACGAAAATCACATACTTTTAAGTGAATATCGTTTTCACATAATAAGAATGAGATGCAGCCTATACAGGGACATGAGGATCCACTGCACGCGAGTGTTGTATTGTTGTAAATTATTATTTTCTAGAAAATTCGTAACTTGACATAAGTCACTCGATCATATTTAAAACAATTTTACATACAAACTAGTTAAATAATATTAATCAATTTGCTCAACTTTGAAAATATTCATGATCAATGTTAAACACAACAGGAATTCTTCTATGGGAATATTTTTTTCAAATTCAAATTCCGGACGCCCTTTCTACCCGAAAGTTAACTTCTATGTATACGATGTAGAACTTTTTCTGAAAGACAATTTTCTTGGAGTGGTATTTTATAGAGGTCATTTTTCGATTTTCTCGGGAGTTTCTCATAAAATGTGAAAAATTGAGAAAAACTAGAAAATCAGTAAAATATTTAACAAATATTACTAAAGAAAATCAATAATGTCTATTTAATTATTTTACCATAATATGACATATACATTGTTGAAAAAGCATCACTATCAATTGACCTTCACTGAGAATCGTTTTTAATAAGCAATAGTTTCTCGTTGCTTACAGATACAAATTAATTTTCCGTCTATATTCTGTCTTCCCAATTTCTCACCAACAACAGTGACTGTACCCGTTTCCATTATCCTAGGACCCTCTTTTTTTTTCTTTTTTTTTTCATTTAATAAGTCGTATGCTATTTATTAAACGGGTTAAAAACGGAATTGTCATCTCGCTATCCCAATACTATAATATGATTTATTTAAAAGCGACAAACAAATTAATGGATTATATTTTATTTTACATTGAAATCGAAATTGCAATAAAAACACTCGCAGGTTTGATCATCGATTGACACATTCAAATATAATATTTAAAAGATCACAGATTACCTTACCTGATATCTTTATTTTAGATAATTACAAAAAAAAAAAAAAAAACGAAAAAAAGATTTGCAAATATAACAAAAAGAAAAAAAAAGTTATTACGGGCGCCCTGGTTTTATTAAACGTGTTATTTTTAAGAGGTTGGGTTATAATATTCTTTACAGTCGTGCGACGGTCACAAAAAAGCCATAACTGTCACTTTATTTATTATATTTTATTAAAAAAAAAAAATAAATAAAAAAAAAATCCGAAAAGATATTTACGATAACTTGTTTAAAACTTCACGTAATTTCATAAAAAAAATAATAATAATGTCACGTTTGTACTTTTCACCGGTGACTAATGCGTGTTCGGGCCAACGGTCTCGTAAAAAAAAAAAAAAAAATAATAATAATAATAATAATAATAAATAAATAAATAAATACATATATATATATGTATTTTTTATTATTATTATTATTATTATTATTATTACGTATAAATACCGCCGCCGGCGGGGACGAAATGCGCTGCGCGCGCACGCATTATGGAAATCCGGAGAGCCGAACGAATTCGGTCGCAATTGACACCGTGTCGGTGGCCCGCCGCTGTGGGTTAATATAACAACGGCAATAACGATAATATACGGCCGGTATACTACACCTATAACCTAGAAGCAATATAAAATATTAACAGCGTTCGTACCGCGACCGCCCGTACAAATATACTCTTGTACAAAACGCTTCGGAATTTTAATAATACGGGCCCGATAAACCCGAACGGTACCCGGATTCAATTACCCGGCGCGGCGTTGTAGCGATAATACGTTTTTTATAGCGACGCCGCGTCTCTTGTCCGCCCCGGACGGCAAGCCCTCGCCCGTCCCGGCCGGATGACCGGCGCACGACCGGTCCGGCGGTAAACGCAACGATAATAACGTTACACGCGGCGGACCGCGTTCTCGCGAATATTTCCGGGCGGTTCGGTGTCGCGCCCACACGTCCTGTAACACTTGTGACGAAAGAAATTTCGCATAAATTTTCGATTGTAGGATTGTTTATTTTCCGTTAGAAATGCCAAATGTCGCGCAACATTCGTTTTTAACCGTTTTACGTTGCCCGCCTATTACTGAATTTTACGTGCAATAATTTTTTTTTTTTTTTAGCGAACACAGACTAAACGATAACGATATCCGTATTCTTGTGATGCCTTAATGCCGCCCGTATCGCCGTATCGGTTACAATCAGGAAAACCACAACAAATTAGAAATGACAAATAATAACGATGTACACGTTATGTCTATTAAAATTGAAATATAACCGAAAATGTATTTATCTCCCTCGTTGAGAGAAACCGCTTTTGAGATTCTATTAAAGATCCACTTTCTTCGTAATTTTCATGAAATTTCGGACGAGGTTCGAACCCCTAAACGCCGCACCCCTTGTACACGCGCCTGCTCCGTGTATCCACCGCCGTTTCTTCGTCCGCTCCACACGCCCCCGATGGCCACGTCGTACTTTTTCGCCGGCCTACCGCTATACCGGCTATTCCGTCCGCATCACCGGCGACTCTCGATATTTAGTGTAGCGATCGTCACCTCCCCCCCCCCCCCCCCNCCCCCCCCCATAAAACCTTCCGGCCACTCGAGTGGTGAATGATTTCACGACGCTCCCCTCGTGAAAATCCCACGGTTAAGGACGCGGGAACCAACGTGTGTTGGGACTGCCGAGTTGTAAAACGTAGAACGAAATAAAAACGTTAATAAAAATGTCTGACGGTTTACAACCATAACTTTGAATCACCAGATAATATTTAACGCGGCGGTTCATGTGTGACACATTTAGACCCGCCAGTTTACGTCACGACTGTACCGATTGCATTGTTTTTCCTTCTCTTAAAATGTCCAAAGTTTCGACGCCGTGTTATAACTCGTGTACACAAAATTAAACGTAAATATAAACGTTCGCTCGTCCGAAATTTCTAAGCTAGTGTCCGAAAAACATTATAATTTACGCGGTTCCTAGACACCTTTTTTTTAGCAAAGTAATTATTTTTCGGAAAAAAAATATTTGCTGACATATCCGACAATATTACCGAGAATATAATGGACGTACGAGTAATTTAGTTTCCAAAAAGAACGGAAATACTCCGCACATAGGTGCAGCCACTGTTGTAGGTGAGAAGTTGGATACAGACGGGAATTCGATGTATTATATCCGATGTATATCTGTAAGCGACGATAACCATTGCTAATGAAAAAACGATTCTGAGTGGAGTTCAGCTGATAGTGTTGCTTTGTCAACAATACAATATCATAGTAAAATGATTACAGTAATAATTGTTTAAAAAAGTTTACAATAATAAAAAAATAAATAAAATCGGTCGTCAATGACAATCTTATGTTTAATCTTTCAATCTTTTTCAACCTAAAAACATGAGGTTTTCCTCATCATTCTGGATATTAATAAGAATTTCAAAAAATGAATTCTCTAAAGTACCGCCCCGTTCTTATTATGCGCCGAATTCAATATCATACGGTTTCGAATTTATAATGATAATAAATAATATTATAAACACTCTCTCATTCATCGAGATCACTGAAGTAAAAAAATTCTGGAGTAGATATTTATATCAGCCGCGGCTTTCATATCGTTAGGTATATATGAATAAAAAAAAATGTATACAAGTATATATGTTAACTTATCGTAATATCGTTATTATAATATACATAAGTACTATTCATATTTGTTTGTTATATTCATATTATTATGCTTAAAGTGTTGTGTAAAATTCGAAGACAGAGAATATCTTATTATGGTATACACGGGCGAAGCAAATGTACAATTATACGAGGAAATGACAAATCCTGCAGACACACACACTCTATATTGTATACACGTTTCTCGTTATTAATTTATTCGTTGAATAAACGCTACGAATCGAAAACGAAAAGAAAAGTAGGGCTATCTATTATGTATATATATATTCTTGATAAAATATTTGTTTACTATAAAGTACCGATATACATATTGAATAGCATACATTTGACAATTTTTCCCTTAGATTTTCAAGTTTAGCACTTTTCTGAAAATAAGTTTAAAATAAATAAATTTAACATTAGGACGGTAATTTTTAATCTCCTCGGGGTTTTTCATAATAAATAGGAGAAAATTATGAAATTTATTTTATAATCGTAAAT